GTGTAGCATGCAAGGCTTCTCGTGGCAGGGACGGTTGGCGGTTCTGGAGGAAGCCGGCTCTTCCCTTGCTTCCCACGCGGAAGAGCTGGCCCGCCTCTTTGGGGGTGTCAGATCCCTAACTGCGAAAGAGGATCTCCTGCAGACTCTCCGGTGAGCTCCTTGCCCGGATCCCGAGTGAAGTTAGGAATGCCCACCTTGTGAGCTGGATGGGAACTAAAAAGGAGGCTTGCCAGGGGTCTTCGTGCATTCTTGCTCTCCAGCCCTCTTAACAGAGAGGCTCATTCAGTGCCCTTTCTTAGCTCAGGAGCCTCATAGCGGATGACCTTCGTGATAGAAGGATGCCTTTGCAAGCAGCCCCTGGACTTAGAATGGGTTTCATAGTCAAAAGGCCGTTTCATCTGGTCCTTCTAGATCAGTGTTTCTCAACCTTGTCAACTTGAAGATGTCTGGACTTCAACTCCCAGAATTCCCCAGCCACCATGATCATCATTGCAAAGGATTCTGGGAGTCGAAGTCCACACATAAAGAATGATCTAGGCCAGTGTTTCTCAACCTTGGCAACTTGAAGATGTCCGGACTTCAACTCCCAGAATTCCCCAGCCACCATGATCATCATTGCAAAGGATTCTGGGAGTCGAAGTCCACACATAAAGAATGATCTAGGCCAGTGTTTCTCAACCTTGGCAACTTCGCTGGCTGGGGAATTTTGGGAGTTGAAGTCCAGACATCTTCAAGTTGCCAAGGTTGAGAAACACTGCTCTACAGACTATGGAAGCTTTTCTGGAGCCTGGGGAGGGTGAAACCCCCTCCCCCCCGGGTCGTCTGGAAAGCTGAAAATCAGCTGGCTGACGCGCACATGTGCACTGGAGCTGATAGCTCATGTGCCGGCATATATGGCTCCGTGTGCCATCACGGAGCTAGAGCATTAAAATTAATATTAAGCGGATAACATCTCACCTTCATTCTCTAAATATCTCACACACACAAAAACACACACACACACACACACACCCTGGGGGCTGTGAACTGGTATCTGCCGCACAACCACAGGCGAGCATGCAAATCTTTATTTCCGCCCGTACGGGATTCGGTTGCGCGCGAGAAACCCACCCCCTGGCCGCCACCACTGCCAGTCCCTGGAGCCCCAAAAAGTTTGGGGACCACTACTCTAAATCGCCACGTCTCACAGATCCGTTTGGTGCGACCGCCGGGGCGGTTTTCTCCGCGGGGGGCAAAGTGGGAGAGTTGGCAACGGGGGTGGTTGCATCGGTGGGTCTTCCTCATTCCCGTCCCCCCCAAACCCGGGGTCTCAGGGACAGGAGGGGGGGGTCAGTGGGGGCGAGAGCAGAGGCATCCCCCGCAGGATCTAAAGCCCACCCTTTTCTCTTTCGCACAGCGGAACGGAAGCCCCCGTTGTTTAACATGAACGCCATGAGTGCCTTATATCACATAGCGCAGAATGAATCCCCCCTCCTCCAGTCCAGCGAGTGGTGAGTCGTGGCGGGTCTCGGAGGGGGGCGTGGAAGAGGTTGGGGACTGAGCTGAGCCCTTGGGGAGGGTAGCCCCCTCAGGTTGGCCGGCTTATCTGTCTGTCTATCATCTACCTGCCTACCTACCTACCCTCCCTCTTTCATCAGCCTGTCTATATATATTGTGTCTGTCTGTCTGTCTCTATATCATCTATCTGTCCATATACATCATCTACCATTATTTATGTATCTGTCCACCTACCCATCTGTCCGTCCCTCGGTCCATCCGTCCATCCATCCACCTCTCTACTTACCTACCTCTGTCTGTCAATGTCTCTCTGTCTGTCATCCATCCACCAACCCACCCACCCACCCACCTACCTACCTACTTAACTACCTGTTTGTCCATGTCTGTCTGTCCATCCATCTACCTATGTCTGTCTGTCTGTCCATCCATCCATCTACCCTACCTACCTACCTTTGTCTGTCAGTGTCTATCTGTCTATCTATCTATCCATCTGCCCGCCCGCCCATCCATCTATCATCTATCCACCTACCTACGTGTCTGTCTGTCTGTCCATCCATCTACCCACCTACCTACCTACCTACCTTTGTCTGTCTGTGTCTGTCTGTCCATCCATCCACCTACCTACCTCTGTCTGTCTGTGTCTGTCTGTCCATCCATCCACCAACCCACCCACCCACCTACCTACCTACCTACCTACCTAATTACCTGTTTGCCCATGTCTTTCTGTCCATCCATCTACCTACCAACATCTGTCTGTCTGTCTGTCTACCTATCCACCTACCTACCTACGTGTCTGTCTGTCCATCCATCTACCCACCTACCTACCTACCTTTGTCTGTGTCTGTCTGTCTATCCACCCACCCACCTACCTACGTGTCTGTCTGTCTGTCCATCCACCTACCTACCTACCTCTGTCTGCAATGTCTGTCTGTCTATCTGTCCGTCCATCCACCAACCAACCCACCCACCTACCTACCTACTTAACTACCTGTTTGTCCATGTCTGTCTGTCCATCTATCTACCTACCTATATCTGTCTGTCTGTCCGTTTGTCTATCCACCTACCCACCTACCTTTGTCTGTGTCTGTCTGTCTGTCTGTCTATCCATCCACCTACTGTCTGTCTATCTGTCTATCCATCTGCCCGCCTGCCTGCCCACCCATCCATCCATCCAATCCCCCATCCATCCATCATCTATCCACCTACCTACACCCATCTGTCTGTCTATCCATCCGTCCATCCATCTACCCACCTACCTATCTACCTCTGTCTGCCTCTGTCTGCCTCTCTATCACCTGTCACTGTCATCTATCTATGAATCGATCAATCTGTCTGTCAATGGACCATGGGTTCTAGTCCCGCCTCAGCCATGAAAGCCACCTGGGGGTCTTTGGGCCAGCCGCTCTCTCTCAGCCCCACCCATATCACAGGGTGGGTGTTGTGGGGGAAAGAGGAAGGTCCATTGTACACCTTGGCAGCCTTGGGCTATTTCTAAAAATAAGGAAGGTGGGGTGAAAACCAGTAACTCTTATCATCTGCATCATCTATTATCTCTCTCATCACCCATCATCTACCGGTGTATCCATCCATCCATCCTCTGAAGATCTTTCTCTCGTAGCTTCTGAGCCACCCTTTCCTTCTCTAACCAATTTCTTTGGATTTGTTTTGCACACAATGACAATAAAGGCTTTCCCCACCTGTCTGAATGGGGCAGAAAGCCCCCGTCAGCCCCTCCTCTCTTGTCTCCTCCCCCCCCCCTCGGTCTTAAAAAAACAAAACCCAGCCAAAATCTCCAGAGGAAAATGAATTTGGGGCCCGAAGCCTAAAATCCACATTCTTCCTCCGTTCCTCCCCTCTGCAGGTCTGACTATTTCCGAAACTTTGTAGATTCCTGTCTCCAGAAAATCCCCCAAGACAGACCAACGTCCGAGGAGCTCCTGAAGGTGGGTCCGGCATCGGCCCCCCTCCCCTTCGAGAGTTGGGGGCCGTCTCTCTTCCGCTCTGGCTCTTTATGCCTCTTCGCCCATATTCTCTACCGCAGTGTTTTTCAACCTTTTTTGTGCAAAGGCACACTTTTTTCATGAAAAAAATCACGAGGCACACCACCATTAGAAAATGTTAAAAAAATTTA